GTGTGTGTGTGTGTGCATGTGTGTGTGTGTGTGCATGTGTGTGCGATGCGTGTGTGTGTGCATGTGTGTGTGTGTGTGTGTGTGTGTGTGTGTGTGTGTGTGTGTGTGTGTGTGTATATGTGTGTGTGCGCGCGTGTGTGTGTGTCTCCGTTTCATTAATACTTGCCTATTTATTTATTAAAGGGTGCTAGCGGCTGCTACCCGTACTTTCCTTCTGATTAAAGTCACACAGACACCTGGTGGTAGATTTAAGCGCCCCCAGCCTGGTAGGTCCACTTGCTTATTCATGCCAACCGTCATGGTAGCTATACATACGCAGTATTCACCTATAGGGGCATACAACAGTAACCTTCCGCAAATTGTTCACCAATGTTGTACTATTTGGTCTCTAGAAAATGCCTTTTTGGAATTTTTTTCGGTAAAATTTGTCACTAGAGTAGTAGAGTGCAATAATTTGCATAATGCACGCAAGTTACTTTTCCCGTTCTTATTTCGCCGTTGCTGCGCTTCCACTACGCTTTCTCGGCTTGTTTCCGCTTATTCTACGTCCACACTGCGCTGCCACGGAGACTATGACGCTCGTAATACGTCCAAGGCGTTGTTCCCACGTTTGCAATAGGCTCACAGAGCGTTGTTATTACGATCCCACTTCTACTGACCCCCCCCCCACACACATTTTTGTATAAATACAGCTTCATCTTCTATACACAATCAGTGTGCATCTTCTCTTCACCATGGCCGCAGATAGGCAGAATGTCCTAATTGTACTACAGTTAGCACATGTGCAGGCACAAGATGACCAGGCCTTTGTCAACATCATTAGAAGGAGAAGAAGAAGGAGGGAAAGAAGGGAGAGGAGATGCTGGGTTCGACCATGGTTAGACGTGGGAAGAAGAGTTAAGTTTGGACACTATCACTGCCTAATGGCCGAGCTACGACACGAAGATCCTACATCCTTTTTTTTAACTTTCTGAGAGTACAACCAAAGATGTTTGATGAGCTCCTAGCAAGACTTGGTCCAAGATGCACTAAACAAGACACCATGTATAGGAAGGCTATGGAACCAGTGTTGAAGATTGCAATTACTATGCGCCACCTAGCAACCGGTGACAAGTACGCCAGTATGAAGTTTGACTTCAGAGTTCCTCATAACACCATGTCTGTCCTAGTACGAGAAGTCTGCCAGGACATCGTAGATGAGTACAAGGAGGAAGTCATCAGCTGTCCTATCTCCCCTGAAGAAGGGCGTGCCGTTGCTAAACTGTTTGCACGTAGATGGAACGTCCCTCATGCCTGTGGAGCCCTTGATGGAAAACATGTTGCCTGCAGAAAGCCAGCGAACAGTGGAAGCCTTTATCAGAACTATAAAGGCTTCTTTTCCATTGTTCTAATGGGCCTCGTCGATGCGGACTATAAGTTCTTCTGGATAGATGTTGGAGGGCACGGACACATGTTAGATGCACAGATCTTCAATGATTCAGAGCTGAATGAGTGCCTAGTAGATGGGACCATTTGACTTCCTCCAGACCCCCTACCAAATGACGACAGGGACATGCCATACACGCCGCGCACGCGCAGTGAGCGAGTTGCAAACGTATTGAGAGCGTAGTAAGAGCGCAGTGAGAGCGCAGCGAGAGCTACTTGGACGCACTGA